TTTGTACTGAATCCAGAACCTTCCTATAAAAGCAGACCCGAGTTGTTTGCTTTGGATGTGAATGACGCAGTTTGCCCTTGAGAGCCACATACTGGCTCAGACCTATTTGAACAGCCACTTGTTGCTATGCTGTAGCCGATAGAAAAGAGAGCGAGTGTGTGTGTGTGTGTGTGTGTGTGTGTGGGTTTCAAAGTGCAAAGAGGTCTTTTCTCTAAATTTCTGTAAGCCAGGCTTATTAAAGATGATTCACATAGTGGACAGTGAAAATTGCAGCTAATTGGTCTCTCTCTGTTTCTTTTTCCAGCGTCTGATTCAGAGCAGGATGCTGCAGTGAAGTTGGAACAGGAGCGAGCTGAGATACTCGCCAAATATGAAAAGGTGAGAGAAAACAGCTGCCATTCACTCACCAGCCAAATACCCTCCAATCCACTTCCAAGAAAAACTGAAACACAGTAAACACATGCTCTGATCCAACCAGATACCTCCTTCCATCATAGTTCACAACCTGCAGTTTTCATCTGGAAGATTCTCTGTATTGTCATCTGTTTCTAAAACATTGTCTGTCAGATTTTTAGCAAACATTTCTGTTATGTTTCTGATTTAGAATGCCACCGAGGATAGGGCATCAATAGGGTGTTAGAATATGTTTTATTATAACAGCTGTCCTGTGAAACACCTGTTCTCACCGGCTGTCGTGTATATCACTCATGTTGGGAGGCCAACTTTTATCCTTAAGTCACGTCTGGCATTGTATCTTTCCAGACTTTCCAGAAGATACACTTGTTAAAATACATATTTGTCAAGTATGTAAGTTTACAGGAAAGAAAGTGGCACTAAAAGTAAAATGAAATCTTATATTGCATGAATGCAATAATGATCATGTGGTAATAGATATCAGCTCAGAACGTTATGACTTCCTGTGACTGTTGTAAGAGTAATGTGTGTTTTCACTAAAGGGTTTCGTGATTTTTTTCCTCATGAAATCTCTCGCGCGTGTCCGGTTTGTAAATTGATAGTTTAAATTAAGTGTAATCTGAGCTCTCATTAGGGGGCTCTAATTCTGTAACGTGTCTGTTAATTGGATTGTGATATGCTACCGTACACTGGGATTCGTCTCTTGACTCAGAAAGCATAACACCTATGCTCTTATGTTGTTTTTTTTTTTTTTTTACGCACATTTTTTCACCCTCTAAAATGCTAGTTTTACCCTTTAAATTGTTACATTTTTGCACTATTAGCTCCTAATGCCCTAAAATTTATAGTAGTTCGGCCAAAAATTTAAATTCTATTTTATTCTTTATTCTGTTTATTAAACAAAAAGCTATTTATTCACCTTCATGTTATTCAAAACGTATGCTTTTATTTCTGAAGAATAACTTTTTTTTGTTTTGTTTTTTTGTTTGGTTTGGTTTATTTATTTATTGGTTGGTTTAGTTTGTTTTTTGTTTGGTTTGTTTGTTTTGTTTTGTTGGTAACACTTTAGTATAGGGAACAATTTTCACTATTAACTAGTTTTGTTAGCATGCCTATTATTAATGTATTGGCTGTTTATTAGTACTTCTAAAGCACATATTCTGCATGACCATATTCTACATCCCTAATCCTACCCAATACCTAAACTTAACAACTACCTTACTAAGTATTAATAAGCAGCAAATTAGGAGTTTATTGAGGCAAAAGATGTAGTTGATGGTTTGTAAATAGCAAGAATTGGACCTTAAAAGAAAGTGTTTTGTTTGGTTTGGTTTGGGGTTTTTATTGTTGTTGTTGTTTTGTTTTTTGTTTGGTTTGGGTTCTTTTTTTTTTTTTTTTTTTTTTTTTTTTTTTTTTGTTTCGTTTTGTTCCTTTTTCTGTTTGGTTTGGATTTGTGTTTTGTGCATTGTTAATGAAAGTAAAAGAGGACTGGAGCTTTCAGGCTCCAGAATGAGCAAGCAAAACAGCATAAAAACAGTGCATGTATGATTCATGTAGAGATCGACCGATATATCGATTTACCGATATTTTTCCCGATATTTAAGCATTTTACCATAATCGGATATCGGTTTTGTAATATCGGATTCACCGATAAACGCCGCCATCTTGTGGGTGTTTTGAGAATTGAGGGCAGGATCACCATTGCAGCGCATCTGAGGGGAGACGAGACAACAACAACGGCATGGTGCAGGTACTTGATTTGCTGTAGTTAGTAAACTTGATTTAACATAACAGCCATTTATGCACAAATTAGATGCATTACATAAATGCCTGATATGAAGTTTATGCAGCTTGGCTCTAAGAAATAGAGACCAACTCACGGAGTCATGTAAAATAATCCGTCAAGTCCTGTCCCAATAAAGACGTAACTTTGCCTGAATTAAATATGCAGCCATGAATGAGCGCATGTTGGAAATAAAAGCACTGAATTGAATTCTCTCTCTGTTGTCTGCTTATCTTTAGTCGCGTGAAGTCGGAGTCACGTAGAAAATCCGTCAAGATCCTCTCCCAATAAAGACGTAACTTTGCATGAGTTAAATAATACAGCCATGAATGAGCGCATGTTGAAAATAAAAGCACTGAATTTAATTATCTCTCTGTTGTCTATGCTCATCGTTAGTCTCGTGAAGTCGGAGTCACGTAGGCAATCCGTCAAGTCCTCTCCCAATAAAAACGTAACTTTGCATGAGTTAAATAATACAGCCATGAATGAGCGCATGTTGGTAATGTCCACTTCGCAGGGCGCTTACAGTCAAATATAACAAACGTCTGAAGCAATAAGAGAAACATACAAAATGTGCAGAGCGGGGGTACGCGAGGACTAGAATCGAGAACTGCTGATCTAGCAGGGCAAAAACATTATTAATAATTCTGATATAACATTCCAGTTGAGAAATGCAATAAAATATGATGTTTTGTTTGTTATATTCCAGAGAATATTATTCAGTGAATTAACATTATCCAGTGAATTATTCTTCACTCTTAAGCCTATTAAACAGCTTATAAACCTACTAAAACTGTAGTTTAAAATGAAGTTGATATGAATCCTTTATTTATTTTCTCCATTTGAAAACATTAGACATATATTTTTCTTATTGTTAATATTAGTGTTGTTGCTGATGATGCTTTTTATAAATAAAATGTTTTTTTTTATTGTTGTAGTATGAAGATTAATTTTAACATGAATGACTGCTAATTTTCAACACTTAAAAAAAGGAAAAAACTAAGTTACGTATGTTCTTACTTCACCTAGTCATTTATTTACTTTATAACAGTAAATAAATATCGGTTCTGCATATCGGTTATCGGGCACACCAACATGCAAATAATTGGTATCGGTTATAAAAAATCAATATCGGTCGATCACTAGATTCATGTACTATATTTTTCAGAAGCCAAACAATATCTTCTACAGACTGAAATGTAAGTCTTTATTCACTAAAAGTCTCGTGAATTTTTATAGACATGCTAAGAAAAAGTTGAGATGTCTCATTCATGAAGAAATCGTTCACTTCAGTCTGATTTAACAAAAACAGTCTGAATCATTTGTTCATAGACTGAATCACTGAATTCAACTCACTGATTTATCCCCAGAGCGGTGTGTTTAAAGGGATGCATTTAGAGCCCAACTTCCTTCCCAACAGTAACAGTTGGATTGTCAGCACAATAAAACCCTCTCTGAGAAGATGTGTCCTAAAAGCATCGCATTTACAGCCATCAAAGCAGCGCATCTGCAACAAACTTTATTATGTATATCCTGGAACTCGTGCCACTGATGTTCATGTTGTTTAGGCTCTAGATGTGGGTGTTGTCACGTTTTCATGGAACATTTCAGAAGGAAGTAACAGAAGGGAAGTGTGAATGCCACTGAGCCAGGTAGTGATGTAATTTAATCATTGTTTAAATGTCAAATGTTATCCAATTATCAAATGTAAACTTGTTATTACATGTAATATTGTTCTTGTGAGGTCATTTTCTCAAGAGGGATAATTAAATGCAGAAAGACATGAGAAAAAACAGTGGAGGAGGGGGTACGTCCTTGGCGCGTGTCGCTGGCCGAAATATTTCCCACAGCCATGTCACTGTGACATGCTATCAGATTATCATATCCCACTGTAAATTTATGCCTGTGACACACACCAGAGGGTGAGACGGAGATAAATGATTGTGTGTGCATGTGCCCTTGATATGGCTTCCCTCTGTACCAGTTCATATTTTGTCTCCGATTCTCGGTTTCTTTCATACTCATTCTTTTTTATGGCTCCCACTCTTGTTCTCGCTTCTGCCGATTGATTCCGCCTGTTATTTTTCTCATTCTCCAGGCTTCCCAGATCTATTAAGACCTTCACATTTGCGTTACATTTAAATTTGCAAAGATTTTCTTGCCAACATGACAAAGTGCACATATTGCATATTGCATATATAGACAGTTAGTTATTGACCTGACAGGTTAATGGCTTTTGGGATGAATGATTTTGTCAGTGGGTAAAGTGCTTCACCTTTCTTGCATCTAAAATGTGACTCAAAAATTGTCATTAGTCAAAGTAGATGTGCATAGTGTACGCAAAGTGTTGAAAATGTCTATATTATGTATTTTTATGTATTTATTATTATTATTACTACTACTACCACCACTACTACTATTAATTTATTACCATATTTTGTCATAATTTTATTTATTTAGATTTATTTTATTTTTATACATTTATTTCACATAGTATACAATTTTAATATTGTCTATTTATCGGTTATCTATCAAAGTCATTGTTGGCTTATGATTAATTATAATTATGAATTTTAACATTGGTGTATGGCTGATGTCAACCTAATGAATGGACTGTACATATTTTATCTCGCCGCCTTGTTTTCATTGATAGGCATGGTTCTGCAGGTCAGTCTTTTTTTGCAAACGAAAATAGTTCCAAAAGCAGCCACACACTGGAACTGAAAGTGAAGAGGAGCGTCAGATTTCAATCCCCACTTAAAGTGAAGTAATCCGCACCAGCTCCTCTACAGAATCTTTTTTTATTTTCTGCTCATTAAAGACTGAAAATGTATACAAAACTAATTTTAATTGAAGTCTCTATGTCAAGCGGCTCAGATTTAACTGCACAAGTTTAACCTTAGAAAAAGTTTGTTTAGAAAAATGAAAAAAAAAAAAAAAGCTGTGCGTATGTGTGGTCAGAAACACGACTTGTGTGTCTTTCTACTTTCGTAAACACGCTGTTCTTACTCAAGGATGATCTGTTTCTGCCCTAGGCACCCCTCTCTCTTTATTTCTGCTGTTTGAATTGTTTATTTGTGTTATACTGAACCTGTCCACCCCTCATTACCTGCCCTAAATATGTATGAACAACAAATTCACAGATCAGTAGAGCCTTACGCTTTGAGAACTCAAGCCTACAGCAACTTCGCACGCACACATACACACTAAAACAGTGCCTCAACTGATGTGTACTCACAGCTTTGTGTTATTTGTGCTTTCAGGGTAAAGAAAGTGCGGAGGTGGAGCCGTGGGAGGAGGCCAATTTTGATCTGTATAAAGCGGTGGACCGCTTCGGATTCCTGCAGTAAGAAGCATGCATTATTCTGTTCTGTGAGATCTTACATGAGTGAGGAGATGCAGGTATTGGAGAAACCCAGCAGAGAGCTCAAAGTGTCTGAGCGTTCACTGTACACCCTTATCTTGGTGTCTGTCTGCTCCTTTGGCCTCTCCTGTCTTCTCAGTTCTACTCTCTTCTCGCCCTGGCAGGGAGGTTTGTGGCTTACCCAGGCCCCTTAAACAGCAGTGCACTATGCGATATTTATAGGGTGCCACATGTGTCTGGCAGATCATGACTCTATAATTGTAGGGGCAGAGAAACAGGAGGAAAGAAAAATGGATACAAAAAAAACAGTAGCTGAGAGAAAGAGACTGAAAAAGATTGAAAGATAAGTTACAAAACTGGAAAGGTTCAAGGAATTATATGCAGATGTGAGATAGGCAACACTTGCTCTGTATTTTATTTATTTTTGCTTTATTTTGCTTTGTTTTTTTGTTCCTGTGTTTTATTATTATTCATTTTGGTTTGTTCTTAAGTTTTTTGTTTGTTTGTTTTGATTTTTTTTTTTTTATTATTATTTTTGCTTTGTTTTACTTTGCTTTTTGTTCCTGTGTTTTATTATTGTTTTATTTTATTTTTTATCTGTATCTTAAGTTTTTTGTTTGTTTTGATTTGTTGTCTTTTGTTTTTAGGGTTTTTGTTTGTTTAATTCTAATATGTGTTTTGCTTTTTTGTTTTGATGTTTGTTTGCATTTTTATTTTATTTTTGTATGCATATATTTTTGCTCTGTTTTACTTTGCTTTTTGTTCTTGTGTATTAGTATTATTTATTTTTGTTTGTTCTGTATCTTAAGTTGTTTGTTTTGTTTTGATTTTTGTTTGCTTTTTTTCCTTTGATTTAATGTTTTTGCTTTATAAATACCATATGAACAAAGGGTCAGTAATTACACTGATTGAATTTTCACTAACTTTGAATTTGAATTAACATAGCTGCCTATGTAGTCAAAAAGGAAGCTCACTAGGGTTTGGAACAGAGCCTTAATGTCGTATCACGACTTCCCTGGGTTACCTCATGGATATCCCAGATCAGTTCCAAAATGGCTGCCATGGAAACAGTCATTTCCTGTTTGAGTAGCTGACTAAGATCTTGCACTTTGAACAGATTCAGGGCTGGGGGTCACGAGGGCATCATTACCAATAGTGATGTTTATTTATCCAGCGAGTGGACTTCCTGTGGAACAAAGTAATTCCTTTTTCAGTAATACATTTGACGATAAGATTTGACGTCAGCAACATAAACCAGTGTATGATTTATTGATGCGATTTCTCTCCCTGTACGGCCATCATGTTATGTGAACAGTGGGCAGACATTAGTGGCTATTTGAAACCATCTGTGAAACTCTGTGTGTCCAGTGGTGTGACTAAACACTTTTGTTTCAACAGAAGAGAATTGAGTTTAGTCCAAGTGTATATTTGCCTTCTTTAATCTGATGTGATTTGTCTTTCACAGTGAGGATGAGCTTCCAGTGTATGACGTAGTGGAGGAAAAGGTGAGTCAAGTGCTGTATTTGTGTCTGTGACACCAAAACTGTGATAAGTTTAAAGCCGACTTGATACTTTCATAGTGCATCCGTGAAAACCTCAGAGTGTTTTATCTGGAAAACTAGAGCAAATACATCAGTAGGATGAGAAAAATACTTTTAAATACAGTATAAATGTTTTATCAACCGTTTTTAACTAGGCAATAGAAAATATTGGAACAAACTACTCATCCATTATGATTTTTGCCCTAAGTAGAATTGACTGATTTCTATGGAAGCCCATTTCCGCCACTGAATAAAAAAAAAAAAGGTAACTGCGACTCCTTATCTCACAATTATGCCTTTTTTTCTTGCAATTGTGAGTTCATCTCGCAATTGTGACTTTTTTTCTCAGAATTGTGATACAAACCTGCAATTCTGACTTTTTTTCAGAATTGCATGATATTTACTCACAATTCTGAGAAAATATCAGTCTTCTGATCAGTCAGAAATCTCGCCCGACTGGAACGGTGCTTTACATTTCCAGGCTCTGGTGTTTCTAGTCACATTTACATATTTTCCGAGCCGACAACATAACGTGAAAATTATTAAAATGGTTTAAAAAAGCACATGGCGCCATAGTTTCATCACTTTACAGTGTCGCAATGATCCCATTTCCGCCACTGAATAAAAAAAAAAAGGTAACTGCGACTTCTTATCTCACAATTATGCCTTTTTTTCTTGCAATTGTGAGTTCATCTCGCAATTGTGACTTTTTTTTCTCAGAATTGTGATACAAACCTGCAATTCTGACTTTTTTTCAGAATTGCATGATATTTACTCACAATTCTGAGAAAATATCAGTCTTCTGATCAGTCAGAAATCTCGCCCGACTGGAACGGTGCTTTACATTTCCAGGCTCTGGTGTTTCTAGTCACATTTACATATTTTCCGAGCCGACAACATAACGTGAAAATTATTAAAATGGTTTAAAAAAGCACATGGCGCCATAGTTTCATCACTTTACAGTGTCGCAATGATCGTCTTTTTCAGAACCTGTCATAGTTTAATGAGTGGGAAGATGACATGAAATGAAGCGAGTTTAGCTGCATTGTAAACAGATGAGCACACATATGCATATACAGCTCCCGATCTGGGCGAAGTTCACAGGATTTTGACCACAGAATGATAAGAGCACACAATATTATTTAACACTCGGTATTTTAACTTAAGCGCTGCAAGCCATGCATACAGCACCAGACATAGACAGATTTTCTGGTACGCAAAACAAGTACTTTAAAGGAATTCCTTTAGATTATTGCCGTTACTGTGGCAGCCAACAGCAGCACAGCTTAACCCTGCGCACATTTTTGTATTTAGTTATATTGAAAAAGTTTCAATTCAGTCTACCTTTTTTACCCCGTTTTAACATGCATTTCTATGGAGACCAGCCGTAGCTGTCAGACAAGATGGTGGATAGCAGCGGCTGCACATAATATGTGTGTTCTGATTGGTCAGATCGCTTGTCAATCAAGCTCCCTGCGGAACGGTCAGTTGTGAGATATAAACTCGCAATTCTGAGAAAATATCAGTCTTTTTTCCCATCAGAACTGGACTTTATAAACTTGCAATTGCCAGTTTGTATCACGCAATTCTGAGAAAAAAGTCGCAATTACCTTTTTTTTTATTCAGTGGTGGAAACGGTCTTCCATAGATTTCAGCAGGGTTACAGTGGGTACGGAAAGTATTCAGACCCCCTTCAATTATTCACTCTTTGTTATATTGCAGCCATTTGCTAAAATCATTTAAGTTAATTTTTTTTCCTCATTAATGTACACACAGCACCCCACATTGACAGAAAAACACAGAATCGTTGACATTTTTGCAGATTTATTAAAAAAGAAAAACTGAAATATCACATGGTCCTA